TAAGCAGGGAAGGAAGCTGAACAGAGGGAGGAGAGGCGGACAGGGACCCAAGTGGGTCCAGTCTCGGGCACAGCACTGCGATGACTCCGCCTTTCTTTTCTAACCTGAACTGGGCTGTAAGGAATGCTGGCTACTGAAGAGTCTGTGCCTTGGTTTTGTTTTCTTAAGGACTTCGTTGGTCACCCATGACACCAAGTACAGCGGACCCTTGACTTATGAACTCAATTCATTCCCGAGGGCTGGTTGTAACTCAAGCTGGCCAACTGCCTTCAAAGTCTCTCTTCTGTATAATTTTGGGCCACATTTTCTTCCAGGCAGATCTCAGGGTCCTTACAGAGACATTGGTCCAGGATTTCTCAGTTAACCCCACACAGGAAAGGATGCTGTCATGTTCCTTCCAGGACTTTTAAGGGCTAACTCTGTATCTGAGACCCTCTGGAAGCACAAGCGGCCGGCATTCGGGTCTTAACTCAAGACTTTGGTCTTAAGTTAAAACTAAAATTCTGGTTATAACCCTCATTGTTTGTATGTCAGGCCCGTTGTACCTCGAGTGTCCATTATGAGGCTGAATCCAGGACTTCAGCCAGGAAAATGCAGAAAGGTCTAATTTCTGGATGCCTACAAAGTTGTAGATGACCTCAAAGAATTCCGGAGAAGCAGCAAAACTTACAAAGTTGGGTTTCTTGCTATGCATCCTCAGGGAAGAGATCTGGCATCTTTTGGGGCACATGCTTAAAAGTCGGCCCGCAGACCAGAGGCACTGGGAGAGCTGCTGAAATTCCCAAAGCTGAGACTGTCACAGCAGAGATCACAGGATGCAGGACCAGAAAGGCTGCTGCACAGAACCCAAGGTGCACTTCCTCTGCAGAAACCTGAAGAAGCTGGAGCAACTTCCCACGCAGCAAGTCCCCAGCATCAAACTGTGCTTCAGGTGATGCTGCAAGATAAAAGGAAGGCTCCATTCCAGGAAGCACACTGCTTTCTCTGGAACAACTGCAACATTAGTGACACCTGGGGACCGAATAATTCCTTGCAGCAGGGATGGGAGCGGCATCCCTGGCCTCTATGCACCAGAAACTGGTATCATTCCACTGCCAATAAGGCAGCCAAAACTGTCTCCAGGGCCGGGGATTTAGCTCAGTGGCTCCGCTGCCTGCCTCAAAAGTGCAAGGTCCTGAGTTCAATCCCTGGTACCAAAACATAAACAAACAAACAAATAAATAAATAAAAAGTCTCCAGAAACTGCTGCATCTACACTGGCTTGGGTGGCAGGGGTAGGACACTATCACCAGCTGAGACCCACTGCTATCTTTTAACAATCCGAACGCAATCTTCAACAATGACTCCTCTCTGGCCTTCATACACAGTACTACAAGGCAACTGATCGATGCCCTCAATGGTGATAAATTACTCCATAATAGACTAGAATTTCCTTACTTCTAGTTCCTTGGAATACAAAGTAACTATATGAAAAGAAATAAACCAACCCTGAGTTGTCAAACAACTAATAACTTCAGAAAGAGCTAGTGTTAATCAAGAGCTCAAATAAAGCAACCTAATGTAAAATATTGCACACATTTTGGACAAAAGTGAGCGAGTTTCCTATGCATATTTTAAAGTGAAATTTGATCCAGTTACCTTTATAATCTCTGAAGTTAAAGTTTTTCCAAATATACCACAAAGAAATTTCACATGTTTATCACATTTTAAGAAAGCCGGTTATGAGCCAGATGGACTTCCATGAGGAACTCAATTAATATAGGCAGTTACCATCTGACATACTTAAAAGGGAAAAGTGCAAGCAACTTTGTTCCAGTAAGCAAGTCTGAGCACCATAGCTGCCTTTGCAAGTCAGCTTCTGAATTCAATGAATCTCTTTAAGGAATGGAAATGGAAATATTCCTTTGAAGTTATCAGGTCTGAAAAGAATATATATTTACACTATGCATCTTTCCACCATCAAGCATGAGGAGGAAACAGGTTGTCTTCGCATTAGAAGATGTGATCACAAATGAAGCCAAATTCCTAGCTCAGAGATGATCTTTTCCAAAGTAGCTGCCAGATGAAATTTTCAAGCTTTCAAGCACAGGTTTTTTGTCCAGAACAACATTAAATGAACAAATGGCAACCCAATTCTAAGACAAAGAGACTTCTGAGCAAGGCCAGCCAGACACAAACTACCCCTTCAGCTTCCACTGCCAACGGGAACCCCTCAGCAGGACTTGAGGGCAAACCCTGCACTGAGACACATGATTCAATTTTGCTTCTAGGAATCCAGTTTTCCAAGCACAGATAAAGCTAGGATTTCTAAGAAATGATTCATTCCATTCACACCGAGGACAGCCCATTAAGCAGAAACTCCACCCAGGAGACTTACAATTAGTGTGACTGAGACAAGAAGTCCCACAGAGAGAGGACTCCTAGTGCACAGGCAGTTTGGGTACTGAGAACTGTCAGTGAGACAACAAAAAACAGGAAGCATTTTCTTAGGAACAGTAGATAGGAAAGCCATCTATGGGCCATTAGAAGCACATGCTATTCAGACATGTAGTTTACCTTTGATCTGTGGTTCCAGGCACATAACTCCCTCTCCAGAAGTTCAAATGTCTCCTTCCCAAGGTGAGTCACAGAAACTAATACTGCCCTGCCCTTTTGCCTTGAGCAGCCCATGAAGAAATTCTTTGACCTGGTTGCCTGATGGGAGATCAGAGGACTGAAGAGTCTTAAACCCAAGAGCTTGTGTCCCCACGCAGCTGAGATGCACTCCCATCCTGGGATTTTATCTATACAGTGGACCCTTGAGTTATGACCAGCCTGACAACTTGGGTAATGACCTGAATTTTAGTTTTAACTTAGGACTAAAGTCTTGGAGTTGTGACTTGAATGCCGGCTGTTTGTGCTTCCAGAGGGTCTGAGATACAGAGTTAGCCCTTAAAGAGTGCTGGAAGGAACATGACAGCATCCTTTCCTGTGTGGGGTTCACTGAGAAATCCGGGGCCGGGGTCTGTCTAAGGAGCCTGAGATCTGCCTGTGTACAGGGAGAGACTTTGAAGGCTGTGTAGAGGAGCCTGAGCCATCAACTGACCGACTTGAGTTACAACTGGCCCTCGGGAATGAACTGAGTTCATAAGTCGAGGTCCACTGTATTCTCTGCTGCACAGACAGACCAAGAACTTGAAGGTACAGGCCTCACTAGGCTTCCCCACCCGGTCCACGAGCTTTACATAACGGCTTCTGTCCAAACATTTCTCCAGGGTTGTCTGGGCTTCGTGAGGGTCTACATAAGATACTGGAAACACAGGGTGCGAAGAACAGGACAGCTGACAAGGTGGAGGCTCACAGGAGGGTGACCAAAAACTGATCACATGCCAGGATGGGAGCCCATGCCAGCTGCATGGGGACAGAAGCTCCCGGCTTCATATTCTTCCAGGCCTCACCCTACGTATCTCTTCTTCGGGCTGGAGACTTGTATCCTTGAATTGTTCACAATAAAGTAGCAAAGAGTTACGTTCTGAGTTCTGGAAGCCATTCTAGCAAAATTAGTGTATAATGAGGGGCTCACAGGAGCAGAAGTTCCAAAGGCCTGGACTTATGATTGGGTCTGAAGGAGGGACAATCTTCTGAGGCTTGAGTCCTAATCCTGAAATGTGAACACTCTCCCCAGGTGGACGGTGGCAAAAGTGAACAGACTTAGAGACCTAGCAGCTGACAGCCAGTGCAGAATGATGTCTGCTACTGGGGCAAAATTCCACATTTGGGTATCACAGAAGCGATCTGTGTTCTGAGCATACAGCTCCAGAAACAGCGTGTTTTCCATTGTCTCACCAAAAGCGTCTAGAAACAAAGAGACACTAATGATCTCCTCATTTGTAAAGGTTCTACCTGTGAGCTTCAAGGATACCCAGAGGTCAGTCAGTGGGCTGGCAAGAGAATGAGCCCTGTAAGCTACACCCAAATCTACACAGAGTATTTTCCTTTTGTAGGGGATTTCAAGCCACAAGATGAATTATGAAACACTAAGAGTTGAAAATATTCCTTTGCTCCTCCAATTCCAGCAGCTACCAGTCCAGTCACTCCACGTTTAAGGACAGCCAGACAATGGCACCACACCCATTTCATTCTACCAGACTTGCAAAGCTTGCCACGGGGAGACAGCCGACAACCAACCAATGAACAGATGTGTTTCCCACACTGAAAGAACACTGACAGGCGGGCACGGAAGGGCACTGCCACTCCTAGGTGACTTAGTGATGTGCTCCCCTCCTACCCCTCCTCAGTAGAAGATCCAGAGCACCAACACTTCCTTCTGGCCAGCAGCATGTATCTGCAAGAAAACTGACATAAAGCGACTGAGGACTGAACCAGAATGTCCCCGATGATCCCAGTGAGGTTAACAGAGCAATTCAGACCGCTGATGGTTACAGTCTCTTTCTCAGTAGCTGACAAGAGAAAACAGAACAAAATAAAACACAACGCCTACACACAACTGTGGAACTCCGAGAAGGGTCTGAGACTCTTCTTCATATGTCACTACTTTATCCATTTTCTAGTGAGTGACAGTAGTCACCCAAGTTTTATACAAAAAGCCACCTCTTAAGGTTTCAGACATGGATGTGAAAAACCGTGTCAGAGGAGGCAAACCATGACTTCACTGGCCCGGGCTGAGTCTACTCAAGCAAGCCAAGATGCCTGTGCTGTTTCTGTTTCTCTACCTAAATGAAGATGGGATACCAGAGGGGCATCCAGCTGCCATGCTACCCACAAAGGATTCCAGATAAGAAATGAGGCATTTCAGGGCCGGGGATTTAGCTCAGTGGTTTCGCCTTCTGCTGCGCAAGTGGCAAGGACCCGAGTTCGATCCCCGGTACCAAAAAAAAAAAAAAGAAATGAGGCATTGCCCAAGTTTGATCTGCAGGCAGTCTGAGGGGTAAGGACACAGCATGCGAGTCATGCAAACACCCCACATACTGCTGTACTCTGAGATTCCCCATTTCTCTCACCTCCACCGGAAACCTTCTGCCATTGACACTGTGTTCCGAGCCCGCAGAGCCATTGCTGTGGCCCCAGTGAAATTCCACCTTCTCAGCTTTGAATCTGCCAGGCAGGCCAGCACCACTGACGAAATAGTCATCTTTGAGAAGGATGGCAACTGCAAAATGGAAGAGAACAAGAAAAACAAAATGAGTTCCATACCTAGACTAGGGATTTCTTCTGTTACTTTTAATAAAGCTTGATTACCAGATGTGAACTATTTCCTCATATAGCTATGAAAACACAAGTCACAACTACCAGTCGGAACAAATTAAAATATTCTAGCTGCAGAATGCTCTCAGATCATGGTTCTAAATCATGACAATTCCCAGGGAAGGATCTCAATATTTCTTGTCCATTTAACAGCTTGGGAAAAAAATAGAGACAACGACAGAGCAAATGGCTGTGAGTCAGTGTCTTCTACATTTGCTAGAAGATCAAAATTATCTGGAGAGCGAGATGCTGCTTTTTAACACCAATTCCTGGGGCTGCCCTCAGATTCAAGGTCAGGGATGATGTGGGAAATATATATAATAAGCCAACAATTAATGGCACATTTCTTCAATCAAAAACCTAAGCAAGAAGTCAGAGGGAAAATGCAGGTTCCTCCAGGATAAAGGTGACACTAGTGGGAAGACGGCGGGGACTGGGGATCGAACATTTTATATTAGATAGCGATGCCCAAGGAAATGTTGTGCAACATCTCTCATTAAGTCACTCTAATACTGGCCGATAATTGCATTTCCTCTACTGCCTCTTTTAATTTGAAGCATTAGAAAATCTCCCTTAGCCCATGAGAAAGAGCACACATGAGAGTATCCACAGCATTGAGAACCTCCACAGCATTGAGAACCTCCACCAAATTCAAACCCTAAATTTCAAATACACATTTCTCTCCTTGAGTCATGGGGAAGAGAATTCAAGAATAACTTGGATTTGTACTAAAAGAAAACTTGATTAAAAAAAAAAGAAAACTTTATTTTTGCAAAAGGTATGGAAAATCAAATGCATACAAAATAGTTTCTATTTTACCAGGGATATATTCTCCTCTTTTTTCTCAAGTGGATTCATTCATACATTTAACAAATTCTTATTGGCTGCTAAATACATGTTAGGTGCCAGCCAATATACTGAATGGCTTACGACCAAAAGCTTGCTCAAGCCATGAGAAAGCCCTCAAACCCTCATTGTTACCTCTGCCTAGAGAGCCCAGCCAGGGCCTCAGAGAGAAATCTGGCATGCAAATTAGGTCACCATAAAAGATAGGGACTAAACTAATGACCCATTTCTAAAACAGGGCAATTAGTTTCAGTATTTCTGTGTATAAAGGAAGCATTAAACGCAAGTGAAGAAACCCTGCTCATATAAATCCCTTTTTATTGCATTCAAAAGGCAGTTTTTCCCCAACTTCTGAAAAATATACAGTGAATGTTCAATTAGTGGTGCAGCAAATTAAAGGATGAAATGAAGCAAGTGTTTCTGGTGCCAATTAGACATGTCAGGGCATTGTTCCAACTTTATTCTGTTTGGGGCATGTTTTAGAACAAGGGTCAGCATGCTTCCTGCTAAGGGCAATTTCATGCATATTTTAGGCTTTGCAGAGGATTTTCATGACCTGACCTCACCTCTGCAGCACAGAAGCAGCTGGAGAGAGTACACCAGAGGCTCTGTTCGAATAAAACTTTATTTAACCACACTAAAATTCAAGTCAGATATAATGTTGGTGGGTTACAGACTATTTACTATCTCCTTTTGATTTTTTAAAAGAAACTGAAAATGTAAAAAAAAGGCAGAGGGCCTATCATTTCACTATACCTTAAAATATAATAGGGCCGGGGATTTACCTCAGTGTTTCCGCCGCCTGCCTCCCAAGCGCAAGGTCCCAAGTTCGATCCCCGGTGCCCCCCCCCAAAAAAATCTCAGAAAACAAAATATTATCTAA